TATATATTCAATCTAAAACAATTTTCCTAGAAAACATAAACATTTTAAATAGTACAATGTCACTTTATCATTTGCCATAAAGGCCAACGACCTTCATAAAATTCAAAATTCTGTTGGGGCCAAAGACGGAAAAAATGTCTAGCAATTTCTTGCATTTATAATATTTCCTTCGGATCTCTCCATGATCTAGGCATTCGGTTAAGACGTGTCTAATACTAATGGTAAAATCTGTGTCGCACCCGACACAGAACGGCTTCTCATCTCCCTGTAGGAGGTATTTGTGGGTCAGGGCTGTGTGTCCGATGCAAAATCGAGTAAAAAAGACTTCGTCTCTTTTGGAGAGGTCCGAAGGATTTCACTGTTCCAGTTTGGGTTTTATAGTATACAGTTTATTATTTTTCTGTTTTTCCCAGAGGCTCTCCCACAGACTGGAGGTGTACTTTTTGACTTTATTTTTAAAGTCAGTCTGTGGGAGAGTGTGTGTCGTTGATCTCAACAGAAGGGATGAGGATTTCTTCGCCAGGTCGTTTACCTGCTCGTTTCCTCGGATGCCCACATGGCTAGGTATCCATGCGAACATGATGTTTTTTCCTGTTTCAGATAGGGTGTGAATTTTCTGTTGTAGCCTTACTATTTTTGGGTGTAGGAGTGTGTAGTTTGTGAGTGAGGTGATGCAAGACAGAGAGTCAGAAAGGATTAGGAAAGATTTGTTAGGAGAATTTTCTACGGAGTCCAGTGCCGTGTCAATGGCAGAAGCCTCCGCAGAGAAAATAGAGGCTTCAGGATGGAGTCTCCTTTGGTGTGTACTGTTGGAAGATAGGGCCGCGGCGCCCACTTCATTGTGGGTTTTTTTTGGAGCCATCCGTGAAGATTAGCCCGCACCGGGGTATTTATATATTCGTTGTTTGTATTCTGCTTTAAAATTGTTGGTGTTTGTGCTTTCTTTGCCCTGGTGAGGTGCCACGGAGGGAGGTTGGGGAGAAGACATTGTTGGAATTGGATGTCTTATTTGGAAAAGTGAACGTTTTTGAGGTCCTCAAGGATATTGAGACCGAAGGGTTTGATGAGTTTTTCGTTGCTTTGGAATTTGTTTCTGGTTTCTGGGTTTGTTTTAAAAATGCAGTTGTGCGCTGGATTTTCTGGTGTTGAGCTCTGTTTAATTGCGTATTGTAGTGAGAGTTGTGTGCGTCTGAGTGAGAGTGGTGGTATGTTTGCCTCGGTCTGGAGGCTCTCCACCGGGAAGTGCGGAAAGCCCCCCAGAGCGAGGCGGAGTCCTTGGTTGTGTACTGGGTCTAGCATTTTCAGGATGTGTGGTTTTGCCGATCCGTAGACTTGACACCCATAGTCAAGCCTGGACCGGACAAGGGAGATGTACTAGTGGAGAAGGTGTTTTGAGTCCCCGCCCCACTCCGGATGCAATAGAATTTTCAAGGCGTTTAGCGCTTTCTGGCACCTCACACGAAGGTCTTTGATGTGTGGTATGAATGTGAGTTTTTTGTCAAATATAACGCCGAGGAAACGAGCTTGGTCCTGGACGGGAATCCTTTCCCCATAAAGTGTCAAATAATCCGGCTACAGTTAACGTCTACCTGTTCGGCAGAAGTGTACTGCAACCGTCTTTGACGGGGAGAACTTGAAACCGTGTATTGTTTGCCCACTTTTCGAGTTTGTGCAGCTGCGTTTGCAGCTGCCTTTCCATAGATCTCAGATGAGGATGTTTCGAACGGCAGCATATCAAAAAGTCGTCAACGTATAACGAGCTGTCTATGCAGTTTTGAAGGGTTTTTAAGATAGAATCTATTTTGATTTCGAATAGGAGAGGAGAAAGGACTCCTTCCTCCTGTTGGTGGGAGTCTGAAATGGAGGATCAGACACGAACCTGGAAGGAACGGTTCTTCAGGAAGGTGCCAATGAAGGCAGGGAAGTGACCGCGTATGCCGAGTGCGTGCAGGTCTCCAAGAATGCCGTACTTCCAGGTTGTCGAAGGCTTTTTCTAGGTCGAAAAAGATGGCGATCATGTGGCCTCCTTCAGCGAAATCTCGCGTATGAAGGTCTCTAGGCGAACCAGGTGATCCAGAGTGGATCGAGTGAATGCCAATTATGAATGTCCCCGCCTTTGATAAAAATGCTCCCAGTGTCGTTGCTATTATTATGGAGGATCGCCGTAGCGCGGTGGACCTTCAAATATTGTTGTTGTTTTCAAATCCCTTTAACTGCGAGCATTTCGCTCTTGGCAGCGCAGTGCCTCCCTCAAGTAACCACATGTCCTTGTCATCTGGTCAACACCAGAGTAGAGCAGGATTTGTATGTGTGTAGGTGTTTGTAGGAGCCTGCGTCGAAGAACTGCCAGGTTTGGGCAGTGAAGGAGAAGATGTTCAACGGTCTCCTAGTGGTAGTCACAGTGTCTGCAATGGTTAATTCTGTTTATGTGCTTGCTGGTGAGCAATTGTCCAGCGCGGGCTCTGATCGGCTCTACATAAGAGATTCGAAGGATCTTTGGGGTTGGATTTGTCCATGTACCCGAAGAGAGATCTTCCTGTTTCTGCTTTGGCCCATCTCTTTAGCCACTCGTCTCTCCTTTTTGGCTTGGATGATCCCTCTGCAGGTCTGTAAAGAGGCGGCTGTATCTGTCTGGGGCAGGCTTGCTCCAGTCTTTGATAGCTGGTCTGCAGGCTCATTCCTTGGTACTCCAGAATGACCACGCACCCACTGCAGTGTGACTTGCACGCCATAGGACGTGCCCATCTGTTTTACAACGCTGAGAATGTTCCCGTTCCCTCTGTAGTCTCCTCCTCCCTCGACGGTTGGGAGTACTGACATTGAGTCAGAGAAGACAACAACATCCCCTGGTGCTACTGCGCGTTAAAAAAAGTCAAGGGTGATCTGCTCCAAGGTCTTTACTAAGAAGATGTCAACAGTGAGTTCTTGAATGAACAGGTTGGCCTACTGTGACGCCAGACCTACAATAATGGTGGTTGTGCATGGACCCTTCTACGAGCCGAAGGGTGGTTGCTGACATCGCACCTCGCAGGGCTATGGTACCTCCTGGCGAGAGCTCCGTCTGCAACCCCTGCTCCTATGCACATAGCAGGGGTCCCCAGGCTGCCCGAAGAGGACGGAGAGTTGACTCAGTTTAGGCTGGCATGCCAGAGAGCGTGTGGGGTTTCACCCTCAACCATTACAGCCCAGAGACCTTCAA